TCGATCCTCTCCTTCTCAATCCTCTCCTTCTCAATCTTCTCCTTCTCAATCCTCTCCCTCTCAATCCTCTCCTTCTCCATTCTCTCCCGTTCGATCCTCTTCACACAACTTTTTAGCGATCGTTCAGAATTTTGGATAATAGTAGTGTACTCGGGATCCCCTTTACATTGACATGTTTCCTTCTGTAAGAGTTCCACATTCTTCTGGAACCTTTCCATTGCGTCACTATGCTTCTTGAGCTTCATCAACTCAATTCCAAGATTATACCGAATTGTGCAAGTTTCGATATGATCCAACCCAAAGGCTTGCGCTGCAGTCGCCAGTGTCTGCACGTTGATATTGACTGCCCTCGTGATATTTTGAAATTCATTGGATTGGAACAATGCTGCAGCGAGATTGATCCGATCCTGGCATAGAACATGCGTCGAAGCTTTTGCTTTCGTGACGGAAGAAACGATGGAATCGTAAACCTTAATAGCTTCAGTGACATTAGAGGATCTGAGGTAAGTATCTGCAAGTTCTCTTTGAGACTCTAGAGTCGTCTCATTGTGCGGCCCGTGAGCTTTCTTGTGTCGTTCGATATTTATCTTATTGCAACTGATTGATGATTCGAGATCGCCCGCTTCTTTTAGACTAACCGCCCATCGATCGCGTATCGTTAAAGTGCCCTTATCGTTGGGACCTACTTTGCCTTCGGCAAGGACAGCTGCCTGCTCGTATGCTTGAGCCGCCATGGCGTAGTTCTTTGGTGCATTGGAAGCAACCTCGATGTTTGCCTTCTCTTCATACCGCTCTCCTTCCTGTAGTAACTTTTCGATGTCTTCTTCTACCGTCATTTTGATTCCAAGGGTTGTCGGACGAGAAAGAAGTCTACAAACGAGGTTGAAGTGCTCCACCGGTGAGCAGGCCACCATGTTGGGGGCCAAACCACACACAACCTTGGAAAGTTTACCCGACGTACAAATGAGAGCTTACAACTGGCCAATTTGTTTCCTCCCCAGCCTCCCCAAATTCACACTCCTAGCATTGCGCAGCGGCTCAGCCCTTGGTGATGGCAACCAGCCTGATGCCTTGTGCTTTCATTAGCAGTCAGGAGGGCCTAACAGATCCAATGCAATGTAAATAGGCAATACATATGCCTGTGATTGCAGTTGCGCGTCGGAATCCCACATGGACAACACCACTGCCCAGCAGAGCCTCATCGCTATTCGTGCAGACGAACGAGCCTTCAACTAAAATCACAACAACTGTATCCAGACCCACATCAATAGCCAGCAGCAATGTCGCGACTGCGCTTGGCGTCATCTCGAACTCTGACATAGAACATCCACCTGGTCCAGTAGTTGGTGGGGTTATTGTGGGGTCACTGACCGCCTTCATACTTCTAACTGTTGTCTGCTGCTTCTGCCGACGAGGTAGCAAGGGAACTTCAAGTCGCTCTTCGTCTCGGAGTCCACCACAATCTCCTCGACCACGGCCACCTAGGCCTAATCCAAACCCTCCGCCACCACCACCTCCACCACCACCTCCACCGCCTCCTCCACCGCCTCCTCCACCGCCTCCACCTGTAAACCCACCTGGAAACTTTCCCCCTCCACCTGGAAACCTTCCCCCTCCACCTGTAAACCTTCCTCCTCCACTTGCAAACCTTCCGCCTCCACCACAACATCCTCTATACCCAGGACCTTACCAACTGCCTCTGCCTCCACCACAACATCCTCTATACCCAGGACCTCACCAACTGCCTCCTCACCCTCCGCCTCCGCCTCCAAACATCTTTCCTCAGCCAGTCCATAATATCCAGCCGCATATCCGCGAGGCTGAGCCCCAGCCTGGCCGATTGTCTCGCCGAGGCACAAGGGTAGCGGAGGTTGAAGGCAGACCAGCATTGATTGTTAGACCAGCAAGGAGGGCACCACGCCAGAGGGGACATCAGCCTTACGACGACGAGTCAGTATCAAGCGGTAGAAGACGGCGAAGCGTACGTACATACTCGAGGTTTTGTCAGCAGAACGCTAACAGTTTACTTAGTCAAGGCGACATGACGATGGGGTGGAAATTAGGGAACTGAATATTTCTGGTCGATATCGAATTGCAGTCCCAGGCGATTTTGGGGGAATTACTAGATAGTTTTCTAGTGTTGTTCATACTGTAAAATGTCGCTGGCTTTGCAATTACCACCTAATACATATGGGTGGTGGTATAAACTTTTTTTCTCATATTAGTTTTATCATGATATCTTGTCCCGTTTGCCTGACCTAGTTATCCTACGGTTTGAAGCCATTACGTTCTTCTCACCTCATTTTATGGTAATTAAATTAAGCACGTAGTTTCTGTACGATGGGGCCAACTCCTCGTACCCCGCAAGGCTCAGCCAGAGGCGGCCAATCCATGCACAGAAATACCTGCAACATGCACCCCTCAGCCTCAACCTCAGCCCGATATCACATAACCAAACTATGATCCCGTTTGCTCAACTCAATCCGCTCATCTCTCTCTATTCCTCACTCACTCAGTAAACCATGTCTAGCATTAAACCGACCTACTTTCTCACTCCACCCCGCCCCTACCCACCCTCCGGCCCCATCCGACTGGGCGGCATCATCCCCTCCCCAACCCTTCCCGACGAACCCCTCCACATCCCTTCCGTCCCAGAGTCGCACGAAATCAGCTCATTCAACGAGAAGAACTGGTCGGGCTCCCATGTCCGCACATCGTCATCACGCTTTGGAATCTGGACATCTTTCCTACAAATGATTCTCAGTGTTGGCGGTGACATTAGCGTAACCTCAAAATCCGAGATCAATGAAGCATGGAGCGTAGACAATATGTGCACCATGTCGTTTGTGCCAAGCCAGGCGTTCATTGAGAAAAGCGTGCAGGCGGAACAAGTGAGACACTATATCATTGAGAATCGGTGGCGCGAAAAGATTTATATGATCACGGGAGTAATGATAGCATCTGGAGCCACGACTTTTCGGGAGAGTTTGGAAGAGAGGGGCTTGTTTATATCGGTCGGTGTTGATGCGACTGCCTGGACTGGAGTGCCAATTAGTCTAGGTCCAGAGGCGAAGTGGAAGAAGAACGAAGTTGTTGGGAGACGGAGTGAGCAGCAGGATGATTTTGTGTTTGCGTTTAGAGTTAGGGAGATTAGGGTGAGGAGGAAGGGTGGAGTAAAGAGCACACGCGCGTTTAATAAGGGTGCACTGTTTGGCCTCCATAACAAGCTGGATGGGGATGGCATGATTGATGAGGAAGAGATTGAAGTGGAGGGCCTGGGAGAGGAAGTTCATGGTGAATCATTTGGATTGGAAGTCAAGGAAGTAATTCAGGCTGGCGTTGAGGAAGGGAATGAAGGCGACGATGCGCTCGAAGGAGCATACTGTGTCCTACTAGAGGAATAACGAATCTTATATATGTGGCACGGAAGACAATGTAATAGAATCATTTAGTGAGAAAGAAAGTTAGTCAAATGTTTCAGGCTGCGAACAGATGCGGTTAGTGGGACTCCAGAGCATAGCCTCATCCGGCTAACGCCACGATGATAGCTGGAGCCTGGCCAGTTGAGATGAGCATATTTTAGCAAATATATGTGGATAGAATATTAACAACTTTTCTACATTATGAAGATCGGAAAACCACTTCTCTTACAGCAATCAAAGGCTGAATCCACATCTTACCCTACTCTAAAGTTTATCTCCTGTATGCACAAGCTTTGCAGCGGTTGTCAGCTGACAGCTGTTCGGAACTGTTGTGCCTGCGCAGATAGAACTCCATGGGAGCCTCTGGGGCTAGGCGGAGTTGCGAAGCCAGGGTTTTGTCCCGCTTGTAAGGGTACACAGCCCCACGAGGTGGTTGTGGTGGGCAAGAGGGATAAGAAACAGCTGACAAGGTCTTCGTAGAATTCTGGAGAGGAAAGGGGGATCCAAGATACCCGGGCCGGTGGAACTGAGAGCCAGCTAATGGAATACCCAATATGACAGCCTTCCATCTACTTTTGCCCATACAACAGCCTAGAAAAACTCAAAACATAAGGATCGTGTGGATACTCTTCTTTTCCCCCAGCTCTTTGGATCAGTAGATCAACAAAATTTACAAAGCTTCCCTATCTTCTGCGCGCCTGGTAAGAACCGTCGGTTTATTCCCTAGGTCATATATGCCACTGTAGCACCGGAAACGACCCGATTTACTTTTCAGGGCATAATCGAGAGAATACGCTTGGAAGTATTTGAGCCAAGATATAGTCATCATGTGATTTAAGACTTCTTTCCATGTACCACTTGTAATCTGCGCTTGATAAAACTCAATGCGTGATAGCTAGAACAAGTTGTCTGGGCCTGATGGCAGTGACATGATGCGAATAAGGCTTTCGGCAGCGGCTTCAAACCTTCTTAGGTACAGTGTTTCTAGGCTATTGAATTTGTGTGACCAATGGAAGTGGTGGAGTAGCAAACGCTGTGCAGTCAATGCCCAGCGAGGTTAAGCTGATATATTTCGAGACAAAACCGAACAGCCTTCTTGCTCGCGCAGATTTGGATAAAATTTTCTGGAGGTTAGGGTATTGGCAAATGTGACCTCCTCAGCAAGACTGTCGATGAGAAACCTGAATTGGTTATCATCGGAACCGCCTGGACCGGTTCCATCAGCTACCGCGGCGAAGAAATGTTTGAGGCGCCCAAACACAGCGTCCGGGACGTTCCTGAAAAGAATACCAAAGTCGCGGGTGCATGGTAGAGTGAGATAGAGGTTGTTCAAATTGTCTAGGTTTCGATCTGAAAGCGCTGTTACCAGCCCGTATGCAAGGCACTCTACTCTCGGGGTGTTGATTGCTACCGGAGAATCGTTACTCTCCCAGTGGCAAATGTCCAAGTACAGAGCTTCAGGATTTGGAAGTGCCATTAAAAGTGCCGGGAGACTAGCAACCAGCTGATCATAACGCTCGTGTAGATCCTTGAATTCATGACTATGGTCATTGAAATAATTTTTGTGAGTAAGAGCGAAGAGCAGTTTCTTCACAACTGGAACAAGGTTCCCTCTCGCTGAAATTATATCATCAACCCTTTTCTTGAGACGGCCTACATCTCTCAGGAGGATGGAGCTTACTGAGATAAAGGTTGAGGAGAAGAGAATGCGAGATACGATTAGATCAAGGGTCTTGCACGTAAGGCGGAAGTTTTTTAGGGCCTCGAGGTCGGGTCGCTGACCCGATCTGAATGTTCTGTGTGTATATTCGAACCCTGTAAATATTGAAATGGCAGGTATACTCAGTAGAGTGAGGCAAGCAGGATTGATTAAAGAGGCAGCATCAGTTGAGGATGTTTACGTCAACTGATACAGGAGCTAAAGGTAGCTAAAGGTCTCCTCATTCAATAAAATAACTGTTTGGTTCAGTTCTTATTAGGAAAGGTATAATAATTTTGACTGTGATTGCCTCTTTTGACGCAGCACGACACGATCTAGAGTTATCATTATCTTTGACATGAAGTTCGGGACGATGCAAGTTGCAAGGCACCGTGCGTGGTAGTGCCATTCGCCAGTCTGAGTCAGGACAAGAGCCACGCTAGGCTCAATTGAGCAACCCATGCATGATCTGCATCCCTTCGCACGACGTGACATGAAGACAAATCAGGACAGAAGTGTACATTTAATTGATGTTCTCATTGATTCTAGCAAGATGTTGAACATGTTGGCTTTTCCCTAGTCTTGTTCTATGTTACCGTTGGAAATGAAATAAGAAGCCTAGTCGAATATCTTGAAAGGGAGAGACTGTACCAGACTTACAGTCAAATTTGTGACACTGAACTGAATACACTGTTTTGAAGCAACGAGTTTAAGAGTGACCAGAAGATTGATACAAGGCATAATTAGCCTCTGGAATACAAGCAAGCTACCAAAAGCCAGAACAAGACCTAGAAGAGAGTTTGGCATCTCCGTTTGAATGGCACCACCAATGTTGGGAGGTTGGGCCGAGGTTGAGGTCTGGGTCCCCGTGAAAATAGAAAATGATGCAGAAGTTGGTAACCTTGTACAGCTGATCGAAATGCCAGAGGATAAGAATTTAGTTGCTTCTGCTTGCCACACTCCAGAGCGATCTCTAAAGCGGACCTCACTGTCGTTGCTGTATCTGAACTGAGGCTTAGTGGGGTTGGATGTAAGTTCGATATTCGGCTAACTTGTGTTCATAATCTGTTCTCTCGAGAAGGTGATCTCCATGGAGCTGCAAGAGGTATTGGTCTTTATCGAAGATGTTCTTGACGAATTTGAAAAGTTTATGGTGTAGTTCCATCAGACTGTGTCGTTCTTAGGGACATTGTTAGAGAGCTTTGTGGCTGCAAATCAATGGGGACACCCACCAAACAAAATTGTCTTCTTAATCGAGACTGTTTGTGTAACATCCGTTATCCACATCTATTTTGTTAAAAGTGGCTCGCCAAGTACTGTTTTTGTTACAACTCTTCTTGTTCCCTGTCACCTCGTATCAAGCCTCATTTCCATTTTGGCTCTGCTTCCCAGCTGCTTTCATCAGATTCAGAATGATTTTGGGTATGTAATGCAACTTCGTCTCGAGGAATCCGTAAGGCGTTCCATCGTCGCTCCAGCAGGCATACGCTACGCAGAACTAGCAAAGTCGGTTGTAGACCTGTCCTCCGTAAAGCTACCTATAATTGGGATCTCGCTTTCAGATGCCAGGTGGTAGAGTTCAAAGAAGAAAGGATTTGTGTCCCAATATGGATTCAAGACGTAGAGACATGAGTTATCATAGGATCTAAGGGTCGTGGATTTGCAGGTGTTGCTCACGTTCACAGGATATGAGACAGAGGCCGAAACCGTTTCATTGAAGGCAATGTATTAGGAAATCCATTGGCATCATCGTTGCCGCGAGTGTGGGATGCTTTAGAAGCGTACACGAATGCGGGTACAAGAAGCCCAGTAACCCCTAGTGAGAACACTGCCCCTTGAATTGCGAGAGCAGGAGGTACAAGAGGGAGATGCAAACGGAAATGCTGAGTTGACAGCAAGCCATGGGAGGCTTAAATTATGTAGGAAAGACTTACGAATGCTGCGGGGTTCATGGTCATTGGTACTCGCTCTATTAGCTATTTCTAACTGACTAATTACTGCGTTATGAACGCTTCCAAAGTAGGGTCAGCCTCGCAATCATGGTAAAAGTTTCAACCAGGAGTGGGTATCATCCCCGTAGCTCAAGAAATTTACAGCATGAACAGAAAGATACTACTAGAACCTAATCGTGACCTTCTCTCTGGGCCTTGGAAGACATATTATTGCAAGTGCCCAGAGACCTCTCAAATTTGCGATCAAGTCAGCCCCTCCCGTGGTAGTAGCCATCGAGCACTCCTCTACGTAACTGAACCCGAGGGTGACAAGATATTGAAATTTCACCTTCGCTATTGAAATGGATCCAAGATTGGTGTACCTGAAGTCCTGGAGTAGGTACGGTAAGGCTTCAAGCTAAATAACTCCTCAATTAATGAACACTGCGATGTGTAAGTATCCATTGAGATAGACAAGGACAATTGCCACAGGCTGGACAATGCAAGCACAGATAGAGAAGGGTGCAATGTTTCGGTCGTATGCAGGAGTCCGCACTTGAATTACTGAACAACTTCCACCGCATGGACTTGCTGTGTACGGAGTAGGTCGACTCACCACAGCCAGTACGGTTTCCAACAACTCCGCACCCAAAGAGATCCCATGCGGAGAAACACGCAGCGTGACAGCGCCGATGGAAAGAATGTTCGGCGAGTGCCTGTGGATCCGAACAGAGGGATTGTGCAGACGCGTGGAGGTGGGGACATGGCCGCGCTAACCGCATTGGTTCTCAGAATCCGAGGAAAGCTGTTATCGGCGATAAGAGGCTTTAATTGTTAGGCCTCGTTATGCTAGAGAGGGGCTTAAATTTCCATGGTGGTAAGATAGCCTGATTGATTATTCCATGGTAGGCATAGACACAAGAGTTTGCCGGATAGATTTTTTTTATTTCTGGCGGTCGCGTTGCGTTCTTCAATTGAACATTTCCAGGAGCTTTAATACCCCTCCATACCCCTCTCGGTCACATCAGGTAGCCTTTTCTCTTCCTTTTCTCAAGCTTCTAACCAAATACACACTATGGCTCTCGACCGTCTTAAGCAAGCATCTTCTCATATTATGGGGCAAAATGAACCGCCATACCCGTTCGACCCACTTTCTGAGGTCGAAATCGAGCAAGCAGTTGCCATCATTCGAAAGGAACACAGTGGTCTCTTCTTTAACGCCGTCACACTCTGGGAGCCGCGCAAAGTAGAAATGATGGCTTGGCTAAAGGATCCAAAGACAGCTCCTAAGCCACACCGTGTAGCAGATGTGGTAGCAATTGGCAGAGGAAGCAAAGTCTATGACGGTGTTGTGGATCTAACAGAGAAGGAAATTGTGAGCTGGCAGAGGACAGAGGGTGTCCAACCCTTGGTAAGAAGTTTAAGACGAGCCTGAGAAGATAGAGCTGACAACAGAGCTAGATTACAATGGAAGATCTCCAGATTGTGGAGACCATTGTTCGCAGAGATCCTAAAGTCATTGAACAGTGTGGTATCATTGGCATTCCTCCGGAAGATATGCATAAAGTCTACTGTGATCGTAAGTTATGGACCAAGTTGAAGCCCTAGACCAGGCTCATTGTGGTTTAGCTTGGACCATCGGATACGACGAACGCTTTGGCAACAATATCAGGCTCCAGCAGGCACTGATGTATTATCGCCCACAGGTGGATGACAGTCAATACAGTTACCCCCTCGATTTCTGCCCCATCTACAATGCTGATACTCAAGAAATCATTCATATCGATATTCCTTCCGTCCGACGACCTATCAACAGGGCTCCACCGAATAACTATCATGCTGCGGCAATTGAAAAGGATGGTGGCTATCGGACTGACCTGAAGCCCATAAGTATCACCCAGCCAGAAGGTGTATCATTCTCAATGGATGGACGCATCATCAGCTGGCAGAATTGGAAGCTTCATATTGGGTTCAACTACCGTGAGGGCATGGTCTTGTCGAATATTACATTCAATGACAAGGGCAACGAGAGACCAATCTTTTGGAGACTATCCCTTGCAGAGATGGTCGTGCCATACGGGAATCCAGAACACCCTCATCAGCGAAAGCACGCATTCGACTTGGGCGAGTACGGGGGCGGCTATATGACTAACTCACTGAGCCTGGGTTGTGACTGTAAAGGCGCTATTCACTACTTAGACGCTGCCTTTGTAAACCGAGCTGGTGAGGCTACGACCATCAAGAATGCTATCTGTATCCACGAAGAAGATAACGGCATCCTCTTCAAACATACCGACTTCCGAGACGAGAGCGTTACCGTGACTCGTGCCCGGAAGCTCATCATCTCGCACATCTTCACTGCAGCAAACTATGAATATTGCGTCTACTGGATTTTCCACCAGGACGGTACTGTCCAGCTTGAGATTAAGCTCACCGGTATCCTAAACACGTACGCTATGAACCCGGGCGAGGACACTCACGGATGGGGCACGGAGGTCTACCCAGGTGTCAACGCCCACAATCACCAGCATCTGTTCTGCCTGCGCGTAGACCCCAACATCGACGGACAGGAAAATACCGTGTTCCAAGTCGATGCCGAGCGAGGCCCTGGAGAAGTCGGGAGCGCAGAGAACAAGTATGGGAACGCTTTTTACGCCAAGAAGACGAGGTTCGAGACTGCTGAGCAGGCAATGAGCGACTATAATGGCGCGACTAGCAGGACGTGGGACATGTGCAACGAAAACAAATTGAATCCTTACAGCCACAAACCAGTTTCTTACAAGTTGGTGAGCAGGGAGGTACCTCCCCTACTGCCAAAGGAGGGAGGCCTGGTGTGGAAGCGAGCAGGATTCGCTCGACATGCAGTGCACGTAACGAAGTGTAGGATACCCCCTGTCTTGAATTTTCAATGAAGACATACTAATATTTCTTGAGATGATGACTCCCAAGTCCATCCTGCCGGTCGTCACGTCCCCCAGACTAGCGGGGAGCCATCGATGGGCCTACCCCAATGGATCGCTGCCAACCCGCAAGCCAGTATTGCCAACACCGATGTTGTTCTCTGGCATACCTTCGGCATCACTCACTTCCCCGCACCGGAAGATTTCCCAGTGATGCCTGCCGAACCAATGACGCTGCTCTTGAGACCTAGGAACTTTTTCATCAGAAACCCTTGCTTAGATGTTCCTCCGAGCTACTGTAGCGTTCCGAGTGGTGTCAAGCAAGGGGGTACTTTGGTGGACAAGATTAGTCATCTGGCATTTGGAGATAACAAGAGTGGGAGCTGCTGTAAGGAGTAGTTTGATTCTTTGGGAGTAGAAGGAAATTGATGAAAGGAGGGAATGTAAATACAATTTTAGAACGAGGCAAAGGAAGGAAGGGAATCGCGTTTCATATTGATATTGGGACAGGCTTTTTATGTGGCGATATCATTTTGAATATTAGTTCATTCACTATACTTGACTTTCGGATTTCCGGTTTCGGATAGCCGCAAGATTTTGATTGGCTAACATTGTACCCGACTATTGCCGAGCGCAGGACACTGAACTCTGCTTTGGGGGTTATTGCTGGTTCTGAAAGCCGATTTTGACTCTAAAGGTACAGAAGAGTCGTATGAAGCGTGTATAAAACTGTCCGGCTTCGTTGCCATTGCCCCGAGGGAAAAAGGAAACTAGCGGTGACGTCTGGGGTCGCGTCCCCCACGCGCGAAAACCATCGAGGTCAAAGCTCGAGGACAGCATCCGACTGTCGAACGACCTCACTCCGCTCCACCACTATGTGATGACCTATTCACCGCCGTCCACCTTACAACCGCCCTGAAAATCGCCCCTGGATGAGTTGAAAAGCATGAGAAAGCCATCACTGTATCCCCGCCACCGACAATGCCCCGCGCCCTCCCGCCAATCGAGGGGAATAAAGGCCCAAATATCTCGCCCTCCGTCGTAGAAAGCGTCGCGGGCTTCAGCGCCGGAGTTGTCTCCTGCTTGACTGTCCATCCGCTAGACTTGCTTAAAAATCGCCTTCAGCGTGAGCATCAGGCATATCCGCAATCCTAGCTTGTCCTGACCGCGTCCTAGTGAATACCCAGACTACATCGAGGCCGGGCGATTCCTTTCGTATATTCCGCCATGTCGTCCGCGACGAAGGCGGCTTCCGAGCGCTGTATAGAGGCCTGTGGCCAAACATGCTAGGGAATTCGCTAGGATGGGGTCTATACTTCTTGTTTTATGGGAAGCTGAAGGATCTGATGCAAGCACGGCGGGGACATGGGGAGTACCTCTCCTCGGCCGAATTTTTCTCAGCCTCCATTATCGCAGGTACTTTCAAACGAGAACATGATGAAATAGTGTTAACGCTAATGTTTTGTCGAGGTTTGCTGACTGGCGCGTGCACAAACCCGATCTGGGTTGTTAAAACCCGCATGCTCGAGCGGGGTGCAAACCACCCGGAAGCATATAAAACCATGTGGATTGGAATGAAGCACGTCTACGCAACTCGCGGCATCAAAGGACTTTGGGCGGGCTTCATCCCATCTACGCTTGGCGTCGCCCATGGCGCAGTCCAGTTCGCGATATACGAGAAGATGAAGCATCGCCGGGGCGAGGCGATTGGAGGGCAGCATAAACTGTCTAATTGGGACTATATTTATATGAGTGGAGGTTCAAAGCTACTGGCCGGAATTATCACATATCCTTACCAACCGATAAGAGCTCGGATGCAGCAGTATAATGCTGCGAATGCCTATTCCGGTCTTATAGACGTTTTGAGTAAGACATACAGAAACGAAGGGTTTCTCGCATTTTATAAGGGGTGAGCGGGCTCCCCATCCCGGCTGGTCTTCTTCTCATGACTACTTGAATACTGACACTCAGACTAGAGTTATACCAAACACAGTGCGAGTCGTCCCAACCACGATTGTCACATTTGTTGTTTATGAGAACACGAAGAAATACCTGCCCCAATTTTTTGATGATGAAGAGATGGCTCATGAGGAGGATTGAACAAGCTATGGCCCGTTTATGTTAGTTTTCTTTTTGCATATCGAATCTCGGAATCTTAGGAAGATAAAGACAGCATTTTGGATGGCGTCCCAGGGTGAGTCAAGACATTCACGGCTGAGTTCGGTATACAAGACGAAATTTTGCTAGCTTGTGGCGCTGTCATTTCTGCAGTATTGTGCTGGAGGTGCAGTTAACAGAACGGGGATGGCCACCTCTTGATTCCTAACAGGTACGTCTACAATGATGTCTTCGCTCGCACGTCTGAGCATACTGCTCTAGAGCATCGACACCGGCGCCTGGCTTCCAGTGAATTCACTACAGGCTTGAACTTCAGCTTCTTTGGTGCACGGCCGTGTTGGCTCTTTGTGCAGTCTGCCCTGTTTAGTATCTTTAGTGAAAATGTGGAGCAGAAGGAGGATTTCGGGGTCCCAGGTAAATAAAATCCCGAGCCGTTGAGGTTGAAAAGGCTCTACATCACCCTAGACAACAGGACCAACTACCAACCCCCGCCTCACCGCAAATTGTGCCCCCTTATGGCCTCCAAAGCCGCAAGTTCTTTTGTTCCGCGATTATTCTGGGTAAATGCCTGCTATCTCACTTCACACTAGACTTCTAAGCTGAAGTGCCATATTCCACGTTAGAATGATGCTGAACAGATCGACAATGCATCGGACCGGTCGACGCAATATTCGCAAGATCCTAGGAAAGGCTTTCTCGCACGTTCAACTTTTGGTCGACGTCTAGGACAGTATCCTGTTTGGGAAGATTTTGGCACCTATAGAGTCTCCGGCCGGATCTAATAGTTGAGCCTGAAATTGGTAGGAGCTTTTATTAACACGAGCAAGCTTAGCAGCCTCTTGACCTCGTTATTCTGCTACGATGCTATGGAATCTCTAGAACCGCCGACACACTGGTACAACCATTCCTTTTCTATAGAGATGTGAGAATGGATTGCCCTTGGTGCCTTCCTTCAGGCTAGCCCGCTTACGTGTTTAGCTTGGTCAAGATTGACTCAACTTGTGGCCGAATGATGCTGCAACGGCCACTCGTCCATGGACTGGCTGACATTCAGAAGATGGCTTGGACGCAACTTTGAATAGCTGTTAGTCAGGTCAAGTAGGAGACAAGACGTAGGCGTAGACCCTGGATGCTGTGCATACCAAGTTACCCGAAGGGATCCTCCGCGAGGGGCGACCGGACATATAGGCCATGGAACCTCATTGGGGATGTACGCCTCTTTTGCGAACCTCTTTCTTTAGGAGTCTTCCTGCCGTCGAAAAGGAGCTCGCAACTTCCATAGTCACGAACGAAGACTCATAGAACCTGGCCGAGTATCGAAATTTGTTCGGCAGCATCCTTGACAAGGAATACCCTTCGAATTCTCCTGCTACCGGATCCTGCGATAAACCGACGTCCTTCGGCTCCTACACATAGGCCGTCAGATAGACTCATTGGTAGTGTAGTGGTTCCTAACTTCACCGCGATGTTACCATTGGCCGGGGATGATTCACCCACGTCACACAAGGTAAATGGCTCCCTTTTCAGGCCAGAACATACCGGTAAATCCTAGACGACCCCAACCTCAGCCGAAGAGCAATATCCTAGACCCCACAATAAGTTAATTGCAGCCCAGTTCAGCGTCTCATGCCCCATATCGGCGGAGAGCTACGATTCCCTCATCCTTGATCCTTGGCCAGCCTGCTTTAATGAGTCTATTTTGGCGAGAGACAAGGGGAGCAAAATCTGGATCCAGCGAAGAAGGAAGATAAGAAGCGGCACCATATGTTGAGGAATTTCTAGAAAGGGCTAAGTGAAATAGCAGGCCAGGAAACATTGTTGGTAGGATAGGACCATAAGAACTCAGGACATGTGTGTGAATGGTAGTGTGACCGGGTTGGAAGCATTCAGCGTGGCGCATCGCAGGATAGATTACTTTTTCCAGTTTCTTACATCTGACTATCTACCCGATGGGCTGCCGCTCTCGAGCGGTGCCTAGATGTAAATATATCGATGGAATTCCCTCAATCGAATCTAGCATTACCCCTCAGCCGTCCCGCGGCGTCTTGTTTCGGTAACGTGCAGGAAGGCAATCAGCTGATTTCGAAGGCGGCAAACGAGTGTCCCATACGCCAAGCCATGTCACAACCAGGCTGGGGTCCGTCGAGACCCTCCACAGTTACTCCCTTTCACTGATTTGCTGTGCTTGGGAGGATTTTGTACTCGTTCGAGACCCACGTGATTGCGCGAGAGTACTTCAGCCTACTTCAGCCTACCCTCCTCCACTTTCTCACCTGCTACCTCCACCACGATTGTTACCACCAACTTTGATACTTTGACCTTCACGCCCCGAGATGGCGAGGTACGTTGTCAACTTCGTGGGCGGCTCTCGAACAATCCGCCTTTTGGTAATCCTGTCACCGTCTGCGCTTGTTTCAGCCTTGCTCGATAAAGTGAAGGATCGCCTTCCTGCATTTGAGGACATACCAAGCGATGCACTCTCTAGGATCGACCTCTATCTGAATTCTCCCGAAGGGCCGGTACTGGATGTTGAAGATCTGCTGTCTGATGTGTTGCCTGACCCTAAGGCAGAGGAGCTGTTTGCTGTTATTGGCGGAAACTCATCGAGCAACGACGCTGAGGTATGCCCCAGAATCGCTTGCTATGTAGATTTTACTCACCATGCGGACAGGACAAAGGTTCGACAACGAAATCCACTTCAGGAGCCTACCAGGCTTCCGCCAAGCCGTTCTTGGTCCGCGTCATCACCCCGGAGCTGGCTCGCTCACATCCAGATGTCAAGTCAATTCCCCTTCTGCCTGCGAGTTCGATTAATTCAGGTAGTACGCTGCGGGAACTCAAGGCCCAAGTGAAGCAGCATCTTGGTTTTTCTTTCTGTGCAGACACGCAAGAAGAAATGGAATGCAATTGCTCCTTTGCACGAGAAATCGACCAGCATGCCGTCTTAAATGAGGGTGTAAATGACCCCTCAGAGGCTTTGAACACGCTCACTGTCGTGTCCGGCAACAACATAGTCACTCGCATCCCTGTCGAGGAAGCACGCCGTGCCACGCTTGAACAGACCGCCAAGCAGCATCTCCAGGCTCACATTGTTGGTAAGCACCTCTCAGTCATCGGTGGCGTCCCCAATGCAAACAATCTGCTTGGAGTCAATGCCCACTACCTTAAGTTACCCATACTTGCTTTCTGTTCCAAGAAGCGCCATAGTGAGGCTGGCCGGTCGGGTGATAACGAGCGTTTCACGCCTTCAGCTCGGCGGACCCTAGTCCTCGATTTACACACGTCAGAAGTCCCAATCGAAGTCACAGCGAATAATGCAGACTTGACACTAGCGGCAATGGGGCTGGAAGAGATTGCGATTAATGGTGTTCTGAACATCTATGTTGTTAGACGATACACGACACTTTACGGCGGGGGAAATCAGGAAGTCAATATGCAGGGCAAGAATGCTATATTTCGCAAAGACATATCCTGGGAACATCCAAGTGGCCAATCTGACCGAGGCCTCGCCAACCTATTATCTGCATTACGAGCCTTTGCGAATCTTATTGGAGCCGCTGAGATGGAACCCCCAACTCAAGATGCTATTCTCCATGTAATCTATCTTCTCACGCGGTTCCCGCCAGCGGTGCGAGCCGTACACGTACTGATGGCGGGAAAGACGCCACGCTTCTCGGAACGTGCGGCACTCGCACAATGTATGTTTGAAGTTTTGAAAGACGTGGTACCTCTTCAGATCATTAAATCGGATGAGACTAGACGTTTCGAGGGATCCCGATTGCTCCTTGGCCTTATCCTTGAGAAAGCGAAGAATCTGAAGGTGTCTATGCAAATCCAGGAACGTCTTACTTACATGGACTCTATGAAAGTCTATGACCTACGAAACCCAGTTACGATGGAACCAGTGGCGAGTCCTATTCAGACAACATCAGGCCTAGCTGAACGTGGGTTCTATGACGCCTTCAGAGATGGGGGCATGTTTCGGCGGACCAATGGCGATGCTACTCTTACCATAGATCGCATCGATGGTAGACTGCAGAGGGTCGTCCTTCTGTCTGGTGGCATCAAGCCACAGGTTACCATATTTGATGTGGATGCCTCCCGATTAATACCACGCTACGATGACAAGGGCGATGTTAGCCGCGTTATAGCTCCTGCAGAATTCTCTGATTTGCAATACTTGGCGACACTCTGTAGCCGGAATAAGCTTGGAGTGCTTCACCCCTCTACCCTACCTTCAGCGGAGCCTCCAGTATTGACTCTTGATCGCCAAGGTCTGCTAGCTGTCTACGTTGGCCGACAAGCCTGTGGAGAAGCAGGTCGAGATATCAACATGTTTCGCCCGACCTCTACCACTGAGGAAGAATCTGTAGATGTTTCAATAATTACACAGTTGATTGTTCCAATTCTTAACCGCCGACAAGCAGACGGCACCGCTGTATTTGAGGCGTTCGGCGACCAGCACCGCCGATTGAGGGACCCAGATGAAATCATCATGCTCGCTGTAGATTGCAGTGCTAGCATGAACGACCGATGCGGATTTGTGGACGTAGAGGAGAATGAGGACGCCTTCGACCCTGAATATGACTCGGATGATGATATATATAGCAGCGTATCTCTAACGCACAGTGAGCGAAGTGAAGACCCGGCGTTCGAGCGACCAGCGTTAGATGAGCTCAAAAGTGAGTTAATCTAGTGAACTTGTAGAAAGATATTTAGATTACTGATGCCCTACAGCCTATCTATCGGAACACGAGTCTTTTGGCGACATGCTTGCGATCATCCGCTCAGCGCCCGATGATTTTCTTTGTCACAAGAATGCTGAGAAAGTTCTAGAGCTTCTACGCGATCTAGCCAATGAGGAGATGAAAAAGAAGTCTAAGAACCTGGAGGACACTAGGAGACAAGCGACAAGGCGTCACTACCGTCAGCAAGCTGACCGAATAGAACAAGACTTGGCTACTCTGAAAAATAGGTCTGTTCGAATGGAAACATACAAGAATGCCTTATTAGCGTGGCTCCTTTATCGGGCCGAGCATGAGTCTAATTTTCATGAGCCATTAACATGGACGCTAGGCCAGGCCATCCCGTCGGTTCCTAAAAAGTCGACTGCCATATATGATGGACCAGACTTTGACACACCCAATGACTACATATGCCCAATATCGTCTGAGCTGATGGACGATCCTGTTCTGGCTCTCGACAGTTTCACTTACGAGAGGAAGGCTATTGAGAGGTGGTTTCAAACGAACGAGACATCCCCTTTCACGAGACAGGTGTTGACTAGTCTTGATTTGCGACCCAACGTTCAGATGAAGAATGACATCCAGGCCTGGATTCGAGGGTCAGACATCATTCGAAGCTATGCGCCAGTTCCAAACTCTCATCTTTCGGTCACATTCAAGTCTCCTCTTACTACCTGGACAATATCATTACCCGTGGCTATCACTCTCAAAGATCTTTATCAAATTTCTTTTAGGGGTACCAAAGGTCGCTACTCAAAATTTGGACTCTACCACCGGAATGCTCTTCTCAGCCCCTCTGGAGAGAGAGCGCAACTACACATCAGCAGTAATCATGATGTTTTCATCAAACCTGAAGACTCAAGTGCTGCGATAGCAATGTCTGGGCAGGCTGAAGACCTTTGTCTCGTCAAAGTCTACTGTGGTGGGTACGAGAACAATGTTGTATCTTATTGGGAGCCAAAGTCAACGACGAAGACCTTGAGCTCCACGATCTTCCGTTATTATAGGCATTCATTCAACCAAAACCCTTACACTAAGATCAGGGATCCTTTCACCATATGGACTGATTTAACCTACACTGGTGATAGCCATTTCTCAGGGTGCACACGAAACAACTGGGAGCCTTTGTCTAGCTTTTTCAATAACCAACATGCAACTGGTGGCCTTTTCAATGAGCCTGCTTATAGCAGAGACGACGATGATCAGGATGACGGGAATGCTCGCGCTAGCACAGCCCAAGGTACTCAACCTCTAGTCCTCAAGATTCATCTAGGAGGCGCTTCGCGGAAGCAGGATTCGAAGACCTTGTCACGCTTAGACGTCCTCAAACAAATGTTTGATGCTTTCATCAATCGTGTTCTCGCATACAACTTTCAAACCCATATCGGACTCATTACTTTCCGATCCACTGCTTCGTTGACCCAGGATATCACCCACGCAGTTGAAAACTTTCGACACCAGCTTAATTCGACAACTGCATCTGGTGACACAGCCTTATGGGATGCACTTCTGCTTGCGCAAGATCAACTTCTACAATATTCTGAGAAGTTTCCAAAGGCCAAGCTGCGTATCATTTGCCTCTCTGATGGTGATGACACGAAATCAAAGGAGCAAGTCACCGAAGTTTCCCAGAAGCTCGTGAGGGATAATATCGTTCTTGACTCATTCTGCTTAGGAGAGGAAGAAAACCTTGATCTTCAGGCTCTCTCGTACTTGACAGGTGGATACAAGTTTCAACCAGACACAATGGAGGAAGCCATGGCCATTTGTGAACTGGAGCCGGTTCTTTCCATACACGAGCGTCCAGATGTAGTTTTACCAAGCTTGTCTCGCCAGCTATTGTATAACCCGCAAATTCGGTTCCAGCATGCGAAGAGCTTGGTTACTATAGACCAAGTCACGCGCGACATCTTCCCGAAGCGCAAAGAGCACCCAGGGCTTTCCAATTCCTTTGTTGAGCTCGGTAAACTCTCCACTACATTCAAGATTGAAAATCGAACTGATAACAACCTGCGCCTCTCTCGAATCCATTCGGAAATCCGTAATTCAGCAGCCAAAATCCATCCACACTATGATGTGTATATCTGCGAACCGAACTTCGGACTTTGGAAGATCGTAATGCAAGGCCCTCCTGACAGTGCCTATGGTGCAGGAATCTTCGTTCTCTACCTGGACATGGGCGAAGAATACCCGTCGTTCGCCCCGAAAGCCAGGTTCGTGACTCCAATATACCACCCTAACATCAATAGGCACGGCCGAATCTGCCACTCGATTCTCGATCGCAATTGGACTGTCGACACAACGAATAAGGATCTGATCGACACGATATACTCACTCCTGCTAGTTCCAGAGTTTAGTGATCCTATGTGAGTTCCTTGTATCCTGTTGCAATGCACTCCACTGATGGACTGTAGCAATGCTGTCGTGACTCTCAATTTCCACTGGGATGAAGTTCAGTTCAAAGAAGAAGCCGGGAAGCATATTACGAAACATGCTACTAAGACTAGGGCTCAGTGGAAGAGGGAGATCGTTGGATAACTAGTGTACAGCAGGGATACAGCTAGAAATTCTTTTATATGGAAGAACTATCTACAGCGCATTGACGAAACCATGAGATAATGGGATGGACTCAAGATTGCTCGATTTTGGGCGTCTCAAGATGGAGATCTTATTTTCTCCATCGAAAGGTCTCACCTTTTCCATGAGGGGAGTGACCGCTTCGCCGCGAAATAGCTATGAGACTAGGTAGAAGCCCTTGCATGAAGATGCCTTTTGTTTAAGTGAACAAATTCAGATTGAGAAGGCAAGCTGGATGATGACTAAAAACGGGTGAAAGTGTCACGTGATGATTACCCTTTATCGATATCGGGCCAACTTCGGAAGCCTCAATTACTTTACAACTGGAAGGTGTCCACATCACCCTCTGCACCCCAATACCCACCAGTTCCCATAGAAGCCTCAGAACACCCAATCGCTAGATTACTGCGAGCCTTAAACTCTGTAGCAGCTTCGAAATGGAATCTCCGGACACATTCACCCTCCTCCCACTGCAAATCGACCCCCAGACCAAAGCCATAACTGCGACAGGCACAGCTAGCAATGCCCTCACTACCGAACTCCAAATCCTCAACACTCTCCACCGGTCCCTCCTCTCGGTAGATACTGCTACCGGCACGCCTCCACCACCCGTCCCCGTCAACCCTAAACGCAGCGCGGCAATCAGCAAACTGCGCGAATCCGGCAACGCCGAGTTTCGTAAACACCAATACCCCTCTGCCGTGCGCATGTACTCTCTAGCCATTGACATGGCACTCGGACGGCCAGCCTGGGAACCTTCTGGGTTGGTGCGAGAGGAGGTTAGCGGGTTACTGAGTAATCGGGCGCAGGCGCATATGAGTATGCAGAATTGGGCGGAAGGCGCTGTGGATGCAGAGGCAAGTGTGGAGATGAAGAAGGTGGGGAACGCGAAAGGATGGTGGAGGAGGGGGAAGTGCTTGTTCGAGATGGGGAGGTTGGAGGAAGCGGAAGTGTGGGTTAAGCAAGGATTGGAGTTTGAGGCCACTGAGCAGGATCTTTTGCAGTTGAAGGGGGAGATTGAGAAGAGGAAGGGGAAATAGATAGAACATGGAAACTTGCGAAGGGAGAAGGAGTTTGGTTGAGTGTGTGTGCATGTGTGTATGTGTAGGAAACGGTTTCTTTGGGAAAGTGTGCATTGCGAGGCGTTGGGTGTACTTTGCTACTGAATGGCACGCTACTTTCACCCCTATGGACTGAGCCACTTGGTAATTCTGGAATCAGCTCTGGTCTTGTCTTACCATTGCTGGAAATGAAATATCCCTCGAGGTCTAACCCCTGTATTTATTTCGCATTTCGCCTTGTCCCCCGGAATTAGATCTTGAAATGCATTTAAACTTTTATGAACCGTGTACAATCTCCTAAACTCTGCTTTAACTGCCTTTTGTTCTAGGGCTACGTTTAGACAGGTTGCAGTTGTAAGATCAGGTGTAATGCACTGTGTCGCTTCCCCTCTCAGCTCACTATGACATATTCAACCACAGTTTGCATTTCACACCCGCCAATAGGAATATTTATATCGCTTTCTGAGTCTCCGAACTCTTCTCTTCTTACCCACTTCACTTATCCGCAAATCTTGTACATGAATTTTCTCATGGTGATCAAATTTCAGTGGAATGTAAAGCGAGCAGTTTGGAGCATCTGGTCCTTTCGGATACTTGCTTATAACGCTGTTCTCTTCATAATATCCCAGTTTGTTATTCTATGCCCTGCTGTAACTTTCCATCTTTTCCATCTTCTTATTCTTAGATACTCAACGCGGCTATCCGTACGGAACAGAGAAGGTTTGAGGCTGTACGGTGTACTGTACTATTTAAGCTGCTTATAAGTACTAATTACAATAAATGGATAAGAGAAGGTAACTAGTAGCACACTATAAGAGATAGATTAATAGGTTATACTGTACTGTACAAAGTATAACAGGCTATTTACAGAGTATCTAACCGAATTAGAAAAAAGTAGTAGAAGTAAAAGTGAATTACTTCTTCTTTTAAGTTATAGTTAGCTAGCTTAATTAACTTGCTGCTTACTACTTTATTATATAGCTTGTTTTTTAATAGCTTTATAGTCCTAATTATTACACGTAAGAAGTAATTTTTATTAATTATAATAGTTTATTAAGCGTGTAAAAAACTCCTCTTACACTTACACAAAGTTACTAGAATAGTAAGAATGTTAAAAGGCTACTTTGTGGGGTGTTGGTTAGAGGACTTAGCTTTACTACTACTACTACTGAAGTGTCACGGTTAACTAGGACATGCATCGGACTCTCCGCGGAGAGCCCTCGTCGCGTGCCCTAGTTGTAAGGCCAAGATAGCTTACGCGCGACAGGTATATATACTATTCTGTACGCAAGATCAACTGTTGGTTGATTATTCGCACCTTTTTGGTTGTATTGGCGCAGTGGTACAGAGCTCCGTCCTTACACTAGTACATATAAATATATCCTTTCCCGGACCCCTGAGTCTCCTCAAGGATTCGTCTATCCATACTATCCTGTATCCCCTTCTGCGCTTCATGCTTCCTATACACAGTGCTCTCATAGTAACATACTAAAAAAGTAATACAATAAAGTGTATAAAAAGGCTAAATAATGGTGTTATAAAGTTTTTTAGTAAATCAATAATAAAATATATAAGATTAGCATAATCTGTCCGTACGCAGTACACGCACTGCTCTGATCTGCACAACCGTACGACCTAATCACGTGACCTAATCACGTTGTAGTCGTACTGTGCCTGTGCGGACCTTGGCAGGAGAGATCCTAATACATAATCTCTCCCACCTAAGGCCTAGATAGAACAAGAATGAACAACCAATAACCCCCCCCATATCCATGGACCGTACGAAAGTGTACTTACGGAATTGTACGCAAGGCCCGCTCACCCCGCGCCTGACCGTACGAGGAAGTCCATTCAACATAATCTACATTAATTCCTAACTACTCTAAGGCCCCTCTACGGTTACTAAGTCTTCTGCACCTTCTATAGCTATGCTACACCATTTTTTTAACCTAAAATCCATATAAACTACTGTAAACGGCTAGTATTAAGGCTTTATACTTAGTTACTATGCTTATAACCACCTCTATACTTATTAACTAGTACTAGATGTGATTTACTGCGGTACTGTTCAGCCGGGTGTACTAACGGATAGTCGTGTTGCAGATACTCCTTTGCCATTTGAAAACTTCTCTTCGACACCTCCAATCAGGACATCCAGCGCATATATCTGAGAGACCTAGGACATAAAACCCACACCTCCGCTTTTGGATATACGCCAATATCAGCACCACACAATTCGCGAACCCTGAGACAGCTATAGGCTTAAGACCTCGTTCCTATTGAGCAGATCTTTATACACATGAAACACACAAAGCACGCGGAACATCCTAGCAACCGCGACGTGAAGCATCATCGAACTCATCAAACTGCGCGGATTATGGACGTCGAGAAGAAACTAAGCCATCCACCCAACCTTAAGCTACGTCTAAAATAGGCTTAATAGAATTGTTAAAGATGTTTCTCGGCTGTCTGGATGAAGAGGTATCATTTACGTGGACTACTAGAATTTTGGATAGTGAACGCTAAAAAGAACCCCAATTTCAGCGCTGTTTTGTATCTATGGGGTGGGAGGTTTTCTAGCCCGAATATAAGTTATACTATTATTGGCTTTGGGAATGAAGGCGATGCGATTTCTACTTATCGTCTTCTTTTAGACAAGCTAAGATAAAAGAGTTCATCATCTATGTCTCTGAGATACCGAGACTCTGAATCATGATGCAATATGAATAAATTACGACCGGGCAGGACCGGGTCTTGAAAAATTATCTCAGGAAGGTGTGGATGATGAGAAGTGGAAGGAATCTTAGCTTCAGCGCTCCCTCGCAGGGATATACTAGGGGATTTTCTGGTCTCCCACAATACGGAGATGTTTGGTCGATAATCCACGGGATTGAAATCTACAACCTCTCAGTCTTGCCCGGTGTTTCTTCAGCCCTTCACAAGACTGCTTCTTTCACTTCCCCTTCATCTATCCCTTTGCCACCAACCCACTCCTCCTCCCCCTTCCCTAAAAGTTCCTGCACAACAGGCCACAATACCCGGTCCCAGGCCGCATACCCCTCCTCATTCAAATGTACATGATCATCCAACATGTCAGTCCCAATGGTCTCCCTTGCCTCCACCCACTTCACTCTCTCCTCCTCCCCCGCATCTCTTAAGTCTTTATTCACCTCCTCGACGACCCTCTTCAAAATCCCATTACACTCCTCCACAATCACATCCCTAACATCCTTCCTCCGAAACATATCACAGGCTACAATGCACCCCTTCGGCGCTAATCTCAGACACGCTTCTAGGAGAAGACGATAGGAAGTGATATCCTGTGCGCGAAACGGTTTGCAGGGACGCAAATTATTCGTCCCGGAAACTAACACAACGGCCTTAATCCCATGCCCCTCTCCCTTGCCGTCACAATTTTTCCGGAGGAATTCGTACAACCCCTCCGCAAGCCTCCACACCACATTCTCATTCTTATCCCCCCCGCACCCCGCATTCCACGCTGACGGCAATTTTGCTAATTCCGTGTTCTTGCCGGTTGTTTTTAGCCGCTCGAGCATGGAGTTTCCGAGATAGAGGGTGGTGATTTTCGAGGTGTTAAGTAAATTTGGCTGGGAAGTGAAGAGATCGTCGTGGTTTGCGGATCTGGGTTCTTGCGGTGATGGAATGGGCAAAGGAGGGGGAGGGGGGAGGTTTAAGCGCACGGTGAGTTCTGGGACATGGATGGTGTGGTGGGTGGTGTGTGAGCGAAGCTTGTATTTGGCGGAGGTGGTGAGTTTATATTGAAAGTCGGTATCAGAGAGTTCAAGGAAGGAAGGAGTGTTGAGAGGAGATAGGGATGGAGGTTGAGGTAGGGTTTGGAAAGACATATCTGTAGATACAACCAGGAAGAGAAGGGCAAGAACAAGGGAAAAGGAGATAGGATGGAACTACGCAGGGGAAGTTTGGTGTTGCGATGCAAGGAAAGCTAAAGTACTTCTTTTACCATAAAATGTTCTTACGGCTGCCTGAAAGTATCCGCGGAGTCATTCCTGGGATTTAGCTAAGGGTAGAGTAAGTCTGGCTCTTTAATTAGATTCAAGGAAGAGTGGCGGATTCATTCCGGTGAGCTTCAAGGAGGGAAATCTGCGAAAATGCAGGACGTGGAAAGGGCGGTAGGGCTGAGCTGGAAAGACTCGGCAGTGACTATTCCATTTCGGCAACCTTGCAGCCATCGCGTAATTCACCAATCAATCATGCAGTAATGACCCCAATGTCCTTTTGCTGAAAGATCGCATGACAGGGATCAGGGAAATGGAAGTTAGAATAACAAGTATGTAGGTTTCAGTGGCTCGGAAACGTGTTCACAAAGTCAGAGGACAGGAGCGCGAATCATTAGTCTATGTAATTGTACAATTCGTAATCGCGGACGAATTTCTGGTGCTAACACAAGTGGGGAATGCTCCCAATTGATGATCTAGGATAAGCCAATATAGTCTTAATCAAGCAGACGGATCACTTGAGTCATCTGCTATATGAAGTAGAACGAAGACTCTTGGGAGTATCTACTCATCCTTAACGCCCCCGCGGCCGGCCCTCTCAGCCGCCTCAATGCTCTTCTTGTCCGTCTTAATCTCCCCACCTGACATGGCGCCCATAAGGCCGCCAGCCGCTTTCCATGGCCTCAGCAAGTCGCCCGTCGCGGATTGACCCAACAGGTGGATCTTGATCAGATTGCCCTCGAAGGCCCCCTTGAGCGGGATGATGGATTGGATGAGGAGTGGGTTCGTGTACTTGAAGTAGAAGTGCATGACAGCCATCATGCCGATGCCCATCATCTGCGCCTTGAAGAGCGCCTTGAGTTGCTGGAGATCGTAGGCTTTGACGGTGGTGGCAACGAATTTGGGGTCTTCCCCGGAGCCCATGGGGGCGGGTTCGACGTACTTGACGACGGTCATGTCTGGGTATGGTTAGCATCGCGCATTTCTCAGACTTCCAGTAAACAGAGTCTATGTGAAGGAGCTGGAGCCAGGTCGGGGACGTACCATTCTTCTTGTTTATCTGCGCCTGCACGTAGAAGTAGATGCCGGCGATGATGACGTTGGAGAGGACGTAGAGGGCGCGCACGCCGTTCAGGACGTTCGGGTCGTCGAAGGGTATCTTCTTGGAAATTTGCATGAACCCCCTACACAGATCTTAGCTGCAGTCCATAATCAGGCTACAGGAGATGCGCATACAAGATAATGATGAGGTTCGTCCTACAAGAGTCCAATTATTAGTAGACTGTCACGGCGGTCCCGGAAAGCTGGGGACTACGTACACCTGTGGATTGAGTGCCATTGCGGTTGCCTCCGTTAGTGGATGCGAAAGGAGAACTTATTAACGGGACACGCTACAGCGGAGGCTCGTTGAGTCTTTATGGGGGGGAGGAACAGGAGGCAGACGCGCAAGGAGAGTGAAGGCAAGCGTCGAAGCGGGCTCTGGGTAAAAGTTGTGGGCATGGGTCTTGGCTCCGCGAAACCAAGAGGACACCTTCCAAACAAGGGTGCGTACGCTAGCCTCATTTGGACCTCGACCTTCGAAATCTATCCAGCGCTTTCTCTGGACACATGGTACTGTTTTCTGTATCTTGTTTATTGATGCGAAATAGAATATCGAAGTGACCAGGATGAAGCCAGATGACTCCCCCCGCGAGTGCCGGGATTCCTTCTCTCAGTTTCTCAAACCCATCAGATTCAAAAACTCCGTATCCTCCCTCCAGATTCGCGTTTTAAACGATAGACAAGTAGTTAGGGAAGTGATACGGAGACGCCCCTCCAATAGGGTATAGTAGAGGTTTGCTGGCTCTTTGGTAAGGGTGCACGGTCGGTAAATCTGCTAAGTAGGGTGAATAATTTTGCTACCTTAACCTACCCTCTTAGCTTCTCAACCAACCCAATTAATTAGGCATAAACCGAAGCCTCAGGCATTACTTGCAGGTGGAAAATTCTTCCTATTCCAAACATTGCCTAATCACCATACACATATGGAATAGTAGTGAACAATGCTCGATCTCATTGTCATGGCTAGGCTCAGGGTATCTACTCTATCCCGTCCTATCCTATCCTACCTATCCCACCTATCCATGCATGCATACGGAACACCAAGTCCCGGCCATATGTACAATACAAACGCCTAACCGTACCCATATCCACAATGCAAGAAGATCCCAACTCCACTCCATCCTAGAAACTCCATGTGCAGTCCAGGAGGCCACCGACAAAAAGAGGGCATACAAGCATGCAAATGCAACGAACGCTAACAATATACAGACGCACAAGCGGGATTCAGGATCCGCACCAACCGCAATTTACCCAACTCCCTCACATTACCAAGCACTCCCGATCCGGTCTACTCTTCTCCTTATGCTTCCCCTTCTCCTTCTCATGATTCCCCCCAACATCCCTAGGCTCCCGGCTCTTACTTCTCAACCTAATCTTCTCCTTCCCCTTGTCCCTCTTACTCTTACTTCTCCCAATCCTCCCACTCGCAACATTCCGACCAGCATATTTCTCATGCTTCTCCTTCACGGGGCTCTCATTCCCGTCACTACCTTCCTTACTTTCAACTTCATTAATAACGATAACGGGGTCATCTGCACCCCCTCCATCCGAGACTTGGAGTTTGTCCTTACTACCTCTACCCGTCAGCCTTGTAATTGTAAGACTAAGTCTGCTTTCACCAGCCTGACTGCTCGGACGACTCTTAGTACCCCCACCCATCCAGTTCTTCGAATTCCGTCGCGAAGTCAACAAAAACCCAGCCTTTTCTTCCGCAGGGGTGGTGGGTGCCGTGCGGCCTCTTGAGCCGCTGTGCATGCTTCCCTCCAGTTCTTCGAATGCTACGCTGCTGCGGTGATTGCTAGACATGCTGCTCCGACCGATTGGTTCTTCGGAGTTTGCGGATTCAATGTGGAGGAGGTCGGTGGAGCCGACTTTCTCCCAGTCGCCGGTTTCGGTAGTTTCGGCGTCTGTAGTGGTTGCGTCGGTTGAGGCGAGGGTTTCTTTTGAGGGATCGACGGAAGGAAGGCCGGATTGGGCTTCGGCGTAACTTGGGGGATCCCCTCTTGATGCTAGCTCTTCATCAATAGGCTGGACCTGGAAGAAGAGGAGGTATGGAGACTCGGATTTTAGAGCCTCCTTGATATCGACTTCTGTGACGCGTTCTTTGGCTAGATCATCGAAGCGGAGCCACGAATCTGTGACCTCCACCGATTGTGAAGAAGAGCTTCCAGGGCGGACGGGATTTGATGGACTACCGTTTGCTCGAACAAGGGAAATATAATGGCCTGAATCGACCGAAACTCCGCGATGGCAAACAATGGACTGAAGAACGAGCTTGAAGTTGCCAAAAAGAGGGCCGACCTCGTCCATGCGATCATCGGAAATGAAATGGGGGAGGCCAATTTCGAGGGGAATATCGATGTAGGTATCCAGGCGTTTTGGAGAGCCGTTGGTGAGCATCATGTAGCGCTTGAGACATATTCCAAGAACAGGACGCTTCGCGGAGAAGTGAGCGGCGACCTGTGCATCAGTCTTTGGCACGTTATCGGTATACCAGGCTAGATCGATATTAGTAGTAGAAGTCAAGCTGTAAGATTGATCGGCATACGTATCAGGCTGAAAAACTGCCACGCAGGCATCATGACTTCCTTACGAAGCGATGCGGAGCGTGGCCGGCCTGCGGAGCTGTTGTTTAGCATCTCGTCTAACAGCCTCTTCTCGTCGAACCGCTTCTTCTCGGACGGCTCTCCGTGTGGAGTGTATCGCTCGCTGAAAATGCTATCTGCTCGTCGACGTCCGTCAAGAGGTCTGATGGGTGAAATAGGGGTTAAAGCAACAGGGCTGGAGACGGTCGGTGAGTTCGGTGCCGACGATACCTCGACCGCCTCAATGTGCAGGATCTGGCCTTTATCGGCATCCCTATCGAATGACCTGAAGGAGCCCACAGTATTTTGTCTTTGAAGGTATCGCTTAACCTCAATCCGGTTGTTGAAATATGTTTCAAGACAATCTTCTAGAGTGACAGTCTTATCTCCCTCTTGCTCCGGAATGGCAACTTCCAGCAACCTCTCATTGACAAACTTGTGATCGTCCTCCTTGTCTTCCCTCCCTGTGTGATAAATGTCCATCTTGAGAGTCAGAAGTGGCAGTTCGAGAGCGCCAGTGATGAAAGTGAAGGCCTCGGAAGCATCCTGCTGACAGAGTTGGGTAGCTTCTTCCCAGCCGCAATTTCCTAGCGCTTCTTGGAGATGTTTGGTCTGTTCAAGATAGTCAGCCAGGGCAACGGCAGGTCGCAGACATTACCCTCACAAGGTCTGTTGTAATGAGCCGGCCAGCCCTCAGTAGATTTACCCACAGGCGTAGCACGGCCGCAAGCTTCTTCCGTGGCTCGTCGTTGAAAGTGTCAAACAGCATGGCCTCAAAGCTATCCAGCCTGGCGAACATGGCGAAAAGCAGTGCGTCTAAATAACACGTCACCATGTTCCGGTTTTCGGCACCCAGCATCTTCACGTTCGGATTGAAGTCCTTCAAGATCCCCTCGAATGAGTCGTTCGCCAGGACGAGCATATCGTAGGCCTGATCGAGATCGTTGGGGTACCTTGACAAGGCATATTCAGCCTGCGCATCTCCGAGCCTTGTGATTCCGGCGGCATGGAGTCGCTGGACAAGCATCTTGATCTGCACCTATGGGTTAGTAGTGGCTTCCAGATGCCTGCGATCATATTCCTAAACGCACCTTCTTTTCATCGTCTTTTTCGGTCAACTTGAGCTCTTCGTTGGAGAATATAGTGTACAGGTCGGACGGGACGACTGGTCGAGACTGCGGGGTAACATGGTCAGAGGAAACCGTTGTGGATACTTGAACAATAAATGGCGTCACGTCTGCGTAAGGGGGTCGCTTCCGTAGAAATAGAAAGCCGTCACCGGCTGAAGGCTGCAGCGCAGCGGGCAGCTTGTGATACAGACTCAGAAGACTGCTCGGTCGCGGGCGAGGGCGAGGTCGAATTGTAGCAGCTTCAGGGCCTGGGCTGTCTGCAGAAGCTAATTGATGCAGGGAAGGAGGTGGGGGGGTGAGGAAAGGCTGGAGTACTTTACTGCGCGCATGCTTGGAGCCGCGTTTCTCATGGTGCTTGTCTCGGCGACTGAGGAACCTCGAGACGCCGTTCATGATGGCCACGGTAGGTGTCGACATCCATCAAGCAGCGAATTGCGCGGCTGAAATTGCCTGGGGCGGGAGAAGCGGTAGGGCAACGGCGGGGTAGGCAGCGGGATTAGAAGAGGAAGACGGCGAGAAGAGCAGACTAGAGGGCGAAATAGAACAGCACGATGGACATACCAGTCCGCCAGCGAGAGATGACAGTGGACAGCGGAGGGTCGGGGAAGCAAAGACAGACAATTCTTCGGCGGGCGGTTGTAGTTGTCTAAAGCGATGGTAGAGTTGAGCAGCTGCATCCTGGCTGCATTGGAGGCAGGGGGCAGTCATTGGCAGAGACTAGTCTAGGGTCAGCTGATCCCTGCACCTTGGCATTCCGATGGGTGCCAAAATTTACGGATGGGTGGTAACCAAACATTCACCACAACCACTTCGTTACGCGCCCATTGTCCCCGACTCATGGCATTGCGCGAGGTCCCGTGGCGGGTTGCCTCCGTCTTCTGTAGGCATGCGCGGCCTGTCATTGCCGCATCGCGACCCTGCAACCGCCGCAATGCCGCAACGGAAGCCTTCGAAGAGCTTGAGTCGTCGTCCTCCCTTGCCGTCCCTCCGCCATCATCATCCGCCGAGATAGCCAAGGCCTTCGATCCAGTTGCGCGGAGTAGAGGGAGAAAGCTTCCGCCAAGCAGGTACTCCGCCCGCATCCATTTGGAGAAGCTGCGATTGACCCTCTTCGCAGATACCAATATCGCTCGCCAAAGTACTACCGCGGCCCCCTCCACCCCCACCAGCCTCCCCCAGTGTCCGACCCCTCATCGCGTCTCTTCCAGCCCGGCCCATTCACCCTCCCCCGCCTAGAGCAAACGTACCAGAGCACCATCGCCTCTGACCTGTTAACCCTTACCTACACCCATGTCCCACCCGGCTACAGAGCACCTGTTAAGCCCCAGAGATTACGAGAATGGGCGGGAGATTCGCCATATTACAAAGGCCGGCCTCTGCGTGGCCCCCGTGGTGGCAGCAATCTACGGCTCTTGACCCCTCCCGCAACATTCCGCAACATACCCGAAATCACCAAAGTGACGGTCCACTCTATGGTACCTGAGGCCCAGGACAACAGTGCCGTTCTCCACGTTGCCGGCATGATTATTCAGGCAATAACCAATGTCCGAGTAAGGAGTCACAAGGCGAAGCATAATGTTGTTGGGTGGGGTCTCCGTTCGGGCAAGATGGTCTCCATAACAGCGAACGTAGAACGGGAAGACACATTCCACTTTCTAGCGAAGCTCGTTGATGTGGTCCTGCCGCGGATCAAAGAATGGAGGGGTGTGCCTGGTTCATCGGGAGATAATAGCGGCAACATCACCTTTGGCTTGACCCCAGATGCCGTTGGGCTGTTTCCAGAAATCGAGGCCAACTATGATATGTGGGTTTGCCCCGCTAGCCACCGCATTTGTTGTCACCTGACCGCTATCTAGGTACCCCCCCAAGATGATACCCGGTTGCCATATCACCATACACACATCTGCAACTAACGACCGAGACGCCCGATTACTGCTCCAATCAATCGGCATTCCGTTCTACGGAAAACTGGTAAACTAGGCGCGGCCTTCTGCTGCCATGTACAGAATATGTAGACATGAAACACATTTATTTTTAGATTAGAGCCCTTGAACAAAGGCATTACTTCCCCAAACGTAGTCCACTTCTTTGTTCTTTGAACCTCTCTACTACTTCTTGTGGCTTCTTTGGATCCTACAATGCCTTTTCTTCTCAAACAAGGCGATTGTCGCCTTCACCTCGTCCTCATGTCCCTGTACAAACAGCTACACCGCGACTTCTCGTTACGTCTATCGTTCCTTCTATACCTTGTTAGGCACACCAAAACAGCTCCAAACTTCCTTCCCAGCTAATTTATATTCACCATCTGCCCTGCAAGGTTCAGTATCACAAACCATGACATCCATACGCTCCCCCAACGCCCGTGCCCGCACATTCCCCACCAAGCGCACCAGGCCCGCCTTCAACCCAGGATCCACTTTGAAGACCGGTCTCGCAGCGCCAGCATTGGAAAAATACTTCTGGTACACAGGGTCAGACAAGGTAACGCGCCTCGCGACAACCGACACCATCGTACCAGAACAAATCAATACGTATGCTTTCAACAAATGCGACTTCGCGCGCCTTCCCTATCCGTCTAGTTTCCCACCAAGCCGCGTCTGGCCCCCACAAACCGCTTCTGACCTTCTCTGCGCCCTCGGCACCGAATGCGATGATTGTGTTGGCGATACTTGCTACACCGACGCGGCTTGCTATAACGCGGACTGCATCCACACGCTAGAAAACTGGGATATCGCGACGAGGGACTGGACAGATCATTTTTCGCTGCAAATGACTGCTAGCTGCGGCATCGGCGTGTTCACCAAATCCGCTTTCAAGAAGGGCACGGTATTGGGCTGGTATGCTGGGGAATTAAAACCCCCAAGCGTCTGTTTCGATAACGACTATCTCATGGAACTGGAAATCGGAATCATCCCCCCATTGTCCTACTACCATCGCAACGGTCTCACGAAAGCGGGAGATACGGTTATTATTGATGGACGGGGCAAAGGGAATTGGGTGAGGTTCGTTAATCATAATTGTAGCCCTTGTTGTATGTTTAGGATAAGGAGGGTTGGGGACGTGAGGATTATGGTTGTGGAGGCCGTGAGGGATATTTCTGTGGGAGCTGAGTTGAGTGTGGATTACGGGAGGAATTATTACGGAGAGGAGACAGTTAGGTCGTGCAAGTGTGGGGCGAGGAACTGTGTGGGGGTGAGGAGGGAGGGAGGGGGATTGCAGAAGAAGTTGAGGGTTAAGAGGTGTAAGAGGGAGGGACCGCCAGGGGAGTAGGTATATTCCTGTGCTCACTTATTCGTCTATCTTCATATTCTCATTTTGTCTGTCTGTGTCTTGCTTGCCTCAACTTCTCATCTTCCTTTCTCATTTCGTCACGTTTTTTCACTTCACGAGACATTGTTGGAAAACAGCTTGTTATGCTATATGCACACACAAGCACGTCTATTAAACATTCCCTCTCCAAAGCTCGCACCAAGAGCTAGGTATGTACATACCCGAAGCATTGTACTCCCCCTCTGGCACGCCTTTACCCCTTCCTATACTTTGCCTCAAGCCCAATATTCGTCCTCAACACATCCTCCACCTCCTGATCCGCCGGCTCTCTCCTTTCTCTCTTTTTCACAAATTTTCCAAGCACCGTACCATCATTCGCAATCCGCCATATCTAGACTCGGTGTACAACTCCGTATCGTGTGATCATGTCGGATACAATTTGTGTCTCGTCGCAGTAGAGGCCGGTGGGATTAGGATTGGGGTTGGAGGTAAAATTGGGATTTAATAGGGTATGGTATAGAAATAGAAGTCGAAATGCGGGGATTAGGGGGTTTAGATGCAGGTTTCGAGGTCGGCGATGTGGTTCTAAGGTAGGTAGAGGGTAGGGTGGGCAAGGTTTGGAGGTGCGGGTTTGGGGGATTTGATGGGGTTGGACTTATGACAATGGGAAGACCGGTCTTGCCAATAATCAAGGGCTATTCAGAACAGCTATCAGAAAGGGATGATTTGGCTTGGTTTTCTACACCAAGTCGATTTTCTCAGCTACGACATACTCAGAGGATCGACCTCGTTGGTCTAGTTTTGTCTAATTTGAGTTTAGTGTGTTGGTATCCCTATCAGGGTGTTAGGTCAGTCGCAAACAAGCAGGAGATTAAGCATTCTCGAAGCCTTCCTCATATGCGTGCATATTTGGCGAGGCGGTTGATCGTGGATTAGGATTCCACGTCGGGAAAGAGGTGGATATGTACGGCTCTGCTGAGTCACCGAGACACACTCGGCTCAATTTACCGAGCTAGAGCCTCAAGTGAGTTCTTTCAGCCGTGATAGAGATCTAACATCCGTCCCCATGTCGCGAGCCACCCCAAGTTCCGAGCCACCTTCCTAATTCAGACTCCTAAAGAATCTATTACGCAGTTTAATAGAGCAGTATTCTATATCCTACTGTTTTATAGCCCTTTCTCCTCAAGGACAATGACGCGCGACAAGAATTTAATAGGTGTTAGTTACGCTGTTGATCGTTTTGTTCACGCTATTAATCGCTGCTTTGCTTGCCCACCACTGCTAAGTCGCGAGCGCATGGGTGCCTTCTAAGAATGGAGTATTAGGGGAAGGGCCCTTTTAAAAAGGCATACAATCTTAAGCTTTAAAGCGTATTTCAGCTAAGGACTGTGGATTCTAAGAGTTTTCTGCACAGATTAAGCGCTGTTTTAAAGCAGTGTGACGTAGTGTAGCACTTCGCATAGTTTAGCGAGCTGCTGTTATTAGTATTAGATTATATTGTATCTTAGTCCTCTTAAGACTAGCTGTGGCGCATAGAGGCAGGATTCTAGAAATATCTATGAATATGTGCTGTTTCTATTTTTGTTACGTGTTCCTTGATTGCGTTTCCTGTAGTTGCTTAGAAGTTGTCACCTACTCGTCTAGTCGCCATCACCCAATTACCACAACAAGTTAACATGGACAGAGCCAGTCAGGTGTTGGCACAAGTCATACCTCCCGGCGTGCCTAAATCATTCTATACCCTAGCAGATTCTAGCAATGCCCCTCACACCACGTAGGACCTAGCTATTCTATAGGAGAATATCTACAACGTAGATAAAACTAGTGTTATGCTTTCTAAACTAAATTCTGTTAAGGTTCTAGTTAGTAAGAATAACTAGCAAAGCTTTAGAGGTGCGCGTGTTAAGCAAATAACAGTTACTGCTATTAAATACGTAAGTACTAACAGTAGGTATCTAAACTTTATAATAATTTAGCTTGTATTAATTTATTAATCTAACTAGGGCACACACTCTACTCTAAGATAGCATTATGCGTACTTAGCAGTTATACTAACTTGTACTTTAGCTTGTAGTAGCTTAAGCTTGTATTTAACTCTTAGACTAAAAAACAAGCTAACTAAAAACTATGTATACTAATATATAACAGCTTTAGAAATTATAAAACTCTAAGGATTTTAGTTAAAAACAACGTTATTTTATACTATATTCTCTTACACATCTTCTACAAGCTTTAGCTCTATAACATCTTAGTGTTTAGTCTACTAAAGGTAGCTTACTACGACTAGGTTAAGTAGCTAGAGCAGGGATATATAGAAATAATTAAGAAGAAGCATTTCACCTATCTTTACAGCCTTGTAAGAGACTAGACACTCAAGCCTAGAGACATACAAGCTAGATAGGCAAAGGCTAGCCTTTTCTCCTTTAATCTAGACAAGGTACTTAGTAATATACTAAAACCCTTGCTAGATTAACTACTTTAAAAACTAATAAGGTAAAGGCAGCATCTGTAAAGCCGCTAGTCCTTACAAAGGATAGTGTACTGCAAGGCTGGAAGCGGCTTGTACTACGGTCCTTACGCGCAACAGGTATATATACTATTCTGTACGCAGAATTAACTGTTGGTTGATTATTCGCACCTTTTAGTTGTATTAGCGCAGTCGTACAGAGCCCTGTTCTTATAGCATCTTGTTTACAAGACTAAGAACTATAAACACCTGTAACTTTAACTATAGTAGATGCAGTTACTTTACTGCATAATCTAATTAAACAGGATGCTTATATAGTTAATAAGACAAGCAGACAACGCTTGCAGAGGCGTATACAGACGCTTACTAATGCCGCCTAACTGCTATTTACTAAACGCTCTATTCTTAAAGAGCATAATTAATTCTTAGCTAAAATAAATAATAAAGCTAAAACTTACTAACTAAGCTAGAGATTATAGGGACAGCAAGAGTAATAAGCAATAAAGACCTTTTCCAGGCACAAGCAGAGCGTGCTACTAAAGACGCTAAGAAAGAGGCTAAAAGGATTGCAAGAGAGATAAAGAAAGCTGTAAGGGCTACAACAGCAGCCGAAGCTACCATAGGCAAGAAGAGGCGTGGTCAGAAGCGGAAGAGTGCTGTCCAAAAAGCTGGGAGGTGAGGTTGAGCAGAGTGGCAGATGACATCAGCGCCCTGTATGTGACATCGGCACCCTATACATGGCATCGGCACTGGCATCGGCACTGGCATCGGCACCATACACAGACATCAGCGCCCTGTATGTGACATCGGCACCCTATACATGGCATCGGCGCTGGCATCGGCACCGTACACAGAAATCGGCGCCCTGATTTTATTGTATGTTTACATAGCGATGTGATCCTTGTACCAGTCATTGATCAAACTTAAGTACGCGAAATTCTCGCAGTTGATGCTAGAGTGCACACTTCAACATATACCTTTATTCCCTGTCGATACTTCATCAATAAGTTCTGGCTGTACCAGGAAATGACTTCGGCACCTTCATTAACTCTTTGGTATTCGCCTCAAGCCTGTTCCATCGCGCCGCAGATTTTGCTCATCGAGGCACAGCTCGACTTTCAACTTGTTCTTGCCAAAGTCGACATGGCTGAAGACGAGCGGTTTACGGAGGAGTTCAAGGCTCTGAATCCAAAAAAACGAGTGCCAGTCTTCAAAATGAACGATGAAATTATAACGGAGGTTCCAGCGATCGCAACTGCCATCTCATCTTTGGCGCCTGATCGAAAATTTCTTGGACAAACGGTTCTGGACACTATCCGTGTGTATGAGTGGTTCAATTATCTCGGAGGAATGGTACATGGTCAAGCATATGGCGGACTCTACAGGCCGGAAAGACTCGTTGATGACCCGAAGCTACACGGTGCCGTTCGAGATAAGGCGGTAAAGAATCTCGAACAGAGCTTTGGGTTCATTGAGCGCAAAATGAGTGCGTCTGGGACCACTTACGCGGTGGGAAATTCTTTCACTGCGGTTGATGCTTACTTGTTCGTGTTGTATCGCTGGGCAGGAGCGTTTATTACGGACTTGAACGCCGAATTTCCCTATCTTTCAGCCTGGGCAAGCAAACTGTTGGAAAGGAAATCAATCCTCACCGCTCTGGAGATTCACACCGGCGTATAATGTATGCTACGCTCGCATCTTCTTGATTTTTGCAATCAGCGCCAATATCATGGTTCATCTGCTATTTTCTGTTAGACTTGAAAAATGACTCTCTGAGGAGCTATTTTGGTGTTGATTGAGGCTATATATATACCGACAGGGGTGCGAAAGAGGGTAAATAATACAGTTTCCAGGCTCATACTTTCTCTTTTGGCTGCGAAATTTCTATCTATACGACTTCTGATCGATGCCTTCAACAACAAAGCGCAGGACTCTACACTACGCAGTTCCAAACCAACGGCCGAATTTATTTATATCAAAGCGACACAGTAGCATGGGTTCTGTCAAGTTGATTAGGAACGGCCAATTAATGCCTCCCAGGAGATCTCGCGAATCCACCGTTGCATTTGCAGCGAGCGACCGGCCGCAAAATTGAGCCCCATGTCCTGTGTTTGGGTTCCTATGAGTTACTATAATGGTGAGGGTGAGTGCGTGAAGGTGGTGAAGCGGAAGATGCGATGGAAATCTTCCCAGGGGCGGTGAGAACTCCGTTGCTGATAGCCCGGGAGTGATTTCCAGCACCTCATGGTAGCTTTAAAGGGCACCCTCCCTAACGAACAGTACAAGGACCGCAGAAAATTCATCTAAGATTATGCGTATTCTACCTGCTTGCAATAGTCGACACGTCATACCCATCCTTCGACGAATCAGTCGTCCTCTATCATTCCCGGTGAGCAAGTACAATACCATTTTCAGAAGTATCGAAGCATTGCTCTTCCCCATTGATAGTAGTAGTTTCTCTGCTGTTCCACCTATCCATATCCCCCCCTTGCTTGACAACATCAGACCGAGTAATTATGCGATACTTCTCTTCGTCAATTGTGGCAAGGTTTGACTCCGTCACTTTCTTAGACGCGAGGCCGTAGAATTCCTGAAAACTCATGATCATCGGCCGCCAACAGTCAGGATCAATCCTATTGGCGTGGCCAGCCAAGCGCAGATCATTCCGAACATGTGTTCGGAGAACTTTGACTTCGATCGCTAACAAAATCCCCTTCCGATCTGGCAGATCTTGCATCAACTCCATCTTGTTCATTAACTCGACTTCCATCTGCACTGGACACTCGGCGATGCGTGGCGGCTGCACAAAATCCGATGCCTGCTGTGTCAGACCAGAAAGCCTGAACTTGTCGTTGCAATAGTCGTATCCAAGCATTTGCTTCACTGGAGGGACATCGGGGGAACCAGTAGTTTTCGCGATCGGATTGATATAGTGGACCATGTCGTCACTAGGAAGGTTGAGAACGCATTGACTTGTGCGCAACAAGTTGATCGTAGTTTGAGACATCGAAGCCAGTCCCAGGACGCATCGGTGGCCGAGCCACCAGGCTGATGACATCGGCCCAATGTTGGCAGTCCCATCCTCGTTCTTTGTCGTAATCAGGACTACTGGGGTGCCCCAGTACATAATAGCAGGGGTGATAATCGAGTGCATGTCCGTCATATTGTCTTGAAATAAGCGATAATCAATTTAAGAGATGTAGTTGTAAAAGAAGTCCGGCAAAGGTGAGACGGTATCTCAACGTTGATCTTTTTTACTTCGAAATCCCATAAGTTTCTACTATATATATTCTTAGAAATCCTAACCGGACTGTACCCGCATTGTTCTATATATGGCCAATAGAATCGCGTAGTGAGATAAACTTGCATTCTAATTGCCTGGTTTTAAAGCAGCGTTTCTAAATTCAAGCGGTTCTTTGTTCCAGATATGGCCAATAGGGAGCGCATTGCGCAGAAGGGGTTTTATAACGCATTGTAGCAACAGATCCCAACATAGCCACTGGCTGTAACATCGCATAGGTACACATAGCATTATTCGCCATACTGTACTACTGAAATATTGAGTTGATGGCCTTAGAAAGCTCTGCGCTGCTTGATATGTCGATGCAGTAGGTACCCACCGACAGCAGGGTCTAGTAAAGTTCGGCGTTCTCTGGCAGTGGTGTCTGCACGGTCACAGCCTTTGTTGCCACAGCTTTTAGCTTGGCTTGCTGACAGACAGTAAATTACAAGTTAGCTGCTTAGCTTAAATATTCACGCTAGCTTGAACCGTCATTCGTTAAACTAGCAGGTACCGATCGGCGTGGCGACAATAAGTGAATCACCCTCGCACGGCAGCCATAGTCTTAAGGTTAGCCTGTCAACGCAACAGGATGGGTGCACCCTTTAGATACCGCGATATTATAGCTATCAAAACTGGATGCAGCGAGGCATGGACAAATGCAGCAAGGCATAGAACAAAGTAGTGTGTATATAAGCAGTAACAAATCTCTGCCTTAGAGGGCAGCGATTTGTCTAAGTCTTTTACCTAGATCCTAACCATTCAAGGTCTGAATAGACTACGTTAGATAAGAGCAGTTTAGCCTATCTTTGTATGTATTGTACATCTTTATTTTTAACACTCTTACATGTTTTTAGTAGAAACAGTGTTCTAGTAGTATGAGAAGACAATAAAACATGCTAAAATCTATATTAAACTAAGCTAACGTCCCCCTCTGCGTGGCGGAAAACCCACCGTGCTGGAAAATACAAGGGGTACTATAACTTTAGGCGACTATAACTCTGCGCGCATATTAAGTTATGCTATTGTAACGATTCGCATGAATCGTTCCATCTCGGGTTGCCCGACGAGCTGATATCCAAAGGGTCCTTGTATCTGCTCCAACCCTGCCCTGGCCCCTGCTGTACCTCTATTCCCCTAACCATTTAGTTGCACCTCACCCCTGTAGCTAGGTTAGTAGTTTTCTAATATCCTTTTATACAAGGCCTATAGGTGTTAATAGCATTCATAGGTTTCTAAGTCCCTACGCACTTCTATATGCCTTAAAGTAGATTTATACTGCATTTAGACCTGTTGTCTTACCTATGCTATTACATTATATTAAAAAACTTGCTTTTGCTAGTAATAGCTTTATTAATAATATTATATTAATTATTTATTTAACAATGTCTAAGTCTAAGATATAATTAATTTAGTTTAAGTTTTAATTTTTATATACTATTATTGTCCGTACGCAGCAGCAGCGTCGCGGCCTGGATACGAGCGATCGCGCACGAGCAGGATCACGTATCTATGTCACATAATGCTCGTGCGCGAACCTCTGTGCGCGAACATCTAGATATCCCCCCTTTCCTTTATACAGAGAAAAGACAAGAGTAATAGAACTAGAAATATATTACTTTTACTTTACCTACCTTATACACTATGTACACTATACACTACTCTTACTTTTACTACTTAAGTGCTTATACTATAAGCAGCTAGCTATTAAAGCTTATTTAACACTAATTAGTAGTTAATTTAATTAACTATAAATTAGTAAAAGTAATAATAAAGTACTTATACTTTATAAGGTACTTTATTTTATTACTTATTTTTTAAAAAAAGTAATAATAAAGCACTTACACTTTATAAAGTACTTTATTTAGTTACTTATTTTTTAAAATAGTAGATTAATCTTTTACATTATATAGTAAGCTTTGCTACTGTATAAAGTAAAAAGAAAATAGTGTAAGACGTACACTAAAGCTACTAAAGCTGCACAACCTAGTAGCTAGATAATAGCACATTAATTTTTTATATTATATAGTAAGCTCTACTACTATACAAAGTAAAAAGAAGATACTATAAAGTGTATACTAAAGCTATTAAAGCTGCACAACCTAGCAGCTAGATAATAGCAGTACCTGTGTAATTTACTAAAAAAGTAATTAACTATACTATTATAATAAAATCTTATTAGTAACTAATAACTCTATATAATAATAAAAAAAATAAAAAATAATTTTTATTATATAAATAACTTATAAAAAATATAAGGATATTAAAAGTAACACTATAAAATAAAACTAGCCTAGAGTACTAAAATAATAAAATTAACATGTTAGAAGCTCTAATAAGCTTATAAACTTAATTATATATAAGTTATATAATTACTAATTTATATATAATAACTTAGAAAGGCGCTACTTTTTTAAGTGTGTATATAAAAAATTTTAAAAAATAAACACTATAAAACTTCTTAGCACTTAGCTATGTGTTTAAAAAAAAGCTTATATAAGTGCTAAAAAATAAAAGAATTACACTATAGCTAGGTACTAAAGGTACCTAAGCCTAGAAGCTATATAATATAGCATAAAAAAAAGTAATTATACTAAAAAAGCTTTATACATAACCTTTATTACTATATAAGGCTTTACATAAAAGTAGACTAAACATAATGCTGCTATTAACACTAAACATACTAGCATTACCTGCTTCTACACCTTAGCTAGCACTACACTAATCACTGTATAAACAATACATGCCACTCTACCTAACGCCTGCTCCACACCTTTAATTGTACACACTACCGCCTGCAGTAGTGTATGCACTACTAATACCACCTGCACAATCTATACTACATTACAGCCTGTACAAACTTCTACTCTAAAAAGAAACTACTAAAAAAAAACTTTTAGTAAATAAAATTATATAATTTTAAAAAGTATAAAAAAAAGATAATAACTATATAAGTTAACTATATAATATTTTTATAAATAAAATAAAATTTTTTATTAATTTATGTTAATAGCTAGATATTTAAAAAACTTAGTATATAGACATTTTTCTAGATATTTTAAAAAGTTAGGTAAATATGTACTATATACATAACATAGGCCTTAGACATAACTAGAAGCATTTATATAACACCTTAAGTAGTTACTTTAACACTAATGTAAACTATAGCTAGTACTAGATAGACTAAATAATAATAACTTTTACATAATACTAATAAAAAAACTTTAATAAGAGTTTATATAAAGCTTTTAAAATAATAATTAATAAGCTTACACTTATATAAAAAGCACTAAAAATAAAATTTTAAAAAGATGTTTTACTATATACTACTATTATATAAGCCTGTTAAGAATAACTAGAACTAGAACATGCTATATTTACTATTAAGCTTTTATGTAAAGCCTTATTTAGTAACTTATAAGCATTACTTTAAGTTACTATAAACTAAAAAGTAAACTAATACCTCTAGAAACTGCCTAATGTATACTACATAAACTACTAATATAACTTTGCATAATAAGAGTCTGCATAATAAAAAGAAAGCTTCCCTTTATATAAAAAAAATAACATAAAAGATCTTTATTTAAGTTTAGGCTACAATCTAGAGATAACTATACATAGATAAAGAAGTGCTTTATCTGCTATAAAAAAATATTAGTTATTAAACTACTCTTATAATAACTATATATAAGTAAAGAACTAGTATGTTACCTTATATAAAGATTTTTATAATAAAACTTTATTATATAAAGCTATTACTTTATACATCTAAGACTTTAAAAGTTACTTTAAAAAAAAATAATTTACATAATATAAAGAAAATAAAATAAAAAAGTAAAAATGCTAAAAAAGCTATTAACTACTTTACCTTTACTACTTATCTACACTGTGCAACAAAAAAAGACATTTATAGCATTAAACTTAAAAAATATGCTAAGCAGTTTATTCTTAATAACTAATACTATATAGTATACTAAGGTAAACTGTCATGATTGTGCACGAGTAAGGTTATAGAGCTTTACAGAGGTCTAGTTTAATTACTACGTAAGGTATTATAGTAGGTACAAAACGTTGTGTAAGGAACAAAAAAGTTTAAAAGAAAATTAGTAATTAAATACTTAGCTTAAAAGTTTAAGTGCTTTAAGTATAAATTAAGCCTATTTTAGGTTTAGTTAGTGTTAAAGCAGTTTATGCTTAAGTTTATGTCTATGTTATGTTATATTTATGTTAGACATGCACTAATAATACTCTAGTACACATTTAATACAGTTATATCTAGGATCTAGAGAGGATACTGTAACAGTACCCCCCCTTTTATTAAGAAAGGAATTCTTTACATTAGTAGTTCTAGCATTAAGTTGTCTTTATTAGGGTATAAGTTTAGTTTAGATAGGTATTAGGCATAGAATTAAGTTACTACAGAGTTTTTTTATAGGGCTTCTATAGGTTTCTATAATAGTTTGTTATATCTAGTCTATTTTATAAAGTATTTATAGATATATTTTTTTTTATTAAACTAGATCTATTTAACATCTTCTATAACATATTTTAGTTTATTATTTATAATAACAGGTTTAGGTAGCAGGTTTAGCTGTCTAGGTAGATAGTTAGATTTAAGGGCTACTTAGCGCAGCAACAATACGTAGAACACAGGGTGTATTTTTATGCTGTTAGGTAGGATTAATTAGTAAGTATGTAATAAAACTATATAAGCTACTATAAAGGGGCTAAAGTTCTTTTAATTAAGTTTCTTTAATTATTAGTTTATTTAGATATTTCTAGTGTCTAGCTAGACCTTCTTACTAGCTGCATACACAGGGGCAGAGGTTTAGAATTAGTTTATGTACTCTTATTAAAAAGCTTAAGCTTATGTAAGCTTTTTATAAACATATTTAGATATGTTTTAGATCTTATTAATAAGTCTATTTATATTTATTACTTATATAAATTAATAAGTTAGTTAGGGGATATTTATAAGTAGTTTAAATTTTATTTAAGAGTAGTATTTATAGTTTGCTAAGAATAAAGATACTTATGTTAATTTAAATGTTATGTTATTAGCTTTAAACTATGCTGTAGCTAACTATTTTACCTAGTTATCTTACTAGTAGTTTATGTACACTTATAAAACTTATTTTATTATAGTGTTTATGTTCTTAGTCTAGCTATTAGTCTCTAGGTAAAAAGCTGTAAATAGATAAAGGATAATTTAAAGCTATTTACAGAGTTTGTCCTAAAAGGCTAAGACA